TTTTTCTAAATATTTCTTATCATATCAGAAGTAATCTGAAGTTGAGATTGCGTCGAATGAATTACACATCCTTTCATAAAAGCAAAGCAAATTGACCGAACAATAAATTTATTATGAATGTAAATTGTACGCAGAAAATAAGTTTACAATAAAAACAAAACAAAAATCACCCCCATAAAACAAGTATTTAATAAATATGTATGTTTCTTTCATAGATACAAAGATTTGATTAGTAAATTTGGATGTACCTGTAGAAAACTTATTTCACATCCTAAATTTTACGGTAATATTGTACGCGGAAATCACTATGTCATCCGTGTAAACTCATCGAACCTTTAAACAAACTTATTAGTAAAGCTTATCTTAGTAATGTTGTAATAAGATCTTTGAATATTGTATTTACATTGGCACTAACATCGATTTTGTCATCAATAAATTAAATCATAACTAAATTTGTATTTTTTTCGCATGGTTTTTGGGATGTATATAAATACATATCCACGTTTATTTTCTATTTAGAGATTGCTTTATCTATATATAACATGATACATATTTATTTATAATCATTTCAAATCTTAACGATCATACTGCCTGTCGATGCTTTAATTTTGGCATTGCACAAGTCATGTCTTCTTTGACTGTCCATGGCGTTAACAAACTAACTCCCTGGGATGCGTTTTAATGGCTTTTAGTGTCTGATGCATGAGTTTTATTGTTAATTGTTTTTGGCTTTTAACTAGCTTTCAGTAACTGCGAGTACTCTCAAATCGTACTTTCGTGGTAATTTGACCTGTTTACACAATTTGTAATGCATTTCTCTAATTCAATGTTTAATTATTTTGTGTTATATCTCGTCTCACCTTTGATAAGTATTTAGTATGACGATAAATTTTCACTTCTGTACTCGTAATCTGAACAACCAATTTATTAATTTTGTTAAAATGTTTACTTCCGTACTCCTAACAACAAAATTATTATATTTAAATTTACCTGTGTACTTTGTTTTATTTAACGCCATTTTGTCCCAGATTAGAGTTGTCTTTTTGACACTGTTCCTACTACTTTTGTACACTACCTTTAACGTCTATGTTATATAGGCACCTACGTATTAATAGTGTCATTGATCAAACTTATTCGTTCAGTGTATGTTTACTTGATTTTGTTTAAATGTCTTTTTGATCGAGTTAAGCCATTTCAATTGATATTTTATAGAGCGTCTTTTTATGTTGTAATGTTACACTACTGTCTCAGGTTAGGGTGAAGGTTGGCGCCTGTTAAAACATTTAAACCCGCTGAAGCCTATTGTTCAGTGGTTGTCGTTTGTTGGTGTGGTTCATAGGTGTTTCTCGTTTCTCGTTTTTTATATAGATTAGACCGTTGGTTTTTCCTGTTTTAATTGTTTTACACTAGTCATTTTGGGGCCCTTTATAGGTTGCTGTTCGGTGTAAGCCAAGGCTCCGTGTTGAAGGCCGTACTTTGACCTATAATTGTTAACTTTTTATACATTGTGACTTGGGTGGAGAGTTGCCTCATTGGCACTCATACTACATCTTCTTTATATTTATATTATAATTATGTTATTCATATTGACAGTTGCTGGAAGATCTTCAAACTCAAACTATAACTACAATATATAAAGTCATAAATTACATGTCAGAAATTGTATCATGATCTTTTCAATTATTGTGAAATATGAAATTCATTACTCCAAATATTTAAGCAAATATAAACTGAAGCCAAAACATATAATAACAAAGGCCAGAACAGAGGTTAACACTATTTCAAAGTTTCAAATGAATTTCAACGTATAAAGCCGAACACAAAAAATCAACGAATTAAAATGTTACTATTTACAGCATAAAGGTTAAGTAATAACCAACGCCACTTGTGTCAAAGAATTCTTACAAACTGCTATCATTTACTGAACAACTGATTATCCTACTTTTGATTTTGATATTTTCTTCATAAATGTTAGCAATCCACAAATACTTTCCTAACGTGTTTTAGTTTCTTGATCTTAAATGACTGCTTGCTTCTTTAAAAAGTATGACTATCAGATTTTTACAATAGCTTACATTTGTAATACATTTGTAATACAACTGTTAAGTATAAATGGGTAACTGTTGTTAATCTATGTTACTTTAAAGAAATGACTCGAAGCGTATTTTTTGTGAATTCAGATTTAGTTTGAATAAACAGAAAACGTAAATTTCATAAATTCTGTAATGTATCTACTATACTGCTGAAAAAAATGAGAAAAGATGAAATGTAAATATCTGAAATAGTTTAAATCTGACAGAATTATCTATGTTTTGAGTATTATGATAGAAAATGGAAACGGGTAATGTGTCAAAAAGACACCAATCCGACCAAAGAGCAGAAAACATCAAAAGACAATCAATGGGTCTTCAACGCAGAACGAAAATCCGGCATCCGGAGGCGGGCTTTAGCTGGCCCCAAAACGATAAAATATACTAGTTCGGCGAAGTGGACGCTTCACTTAACTCCGACGAAGCATGCAAATGAACCTAAATTAATAAAACACACACACACAAGACTAACAAAGGCTAGATGTTCCTGACTTAGGACACGCTCAACATGCGGCGGGGTTTAACATGTTTTGTGATCATGAGATCATGAGATCTCAACCCACCAGCTATACCTCTAGCCAATGTGGAATCATTGAAATATCACAGCAAAACGCACAGTAAAACTCAGTTCCGAGGATGTATAAGAACCGAAACAGTTGAAAAGCTATTTGACCAAAATGGAAATCTCGAATTCTGGTTGTATAGGGAGATAGACCAATAATTGCACCTGTATCTCAAATATATAGCTATTCTATAATAAGAAGATGTAGCATAATTGCCAATGGAACAAATCTCCACCAGAGTCCAAATGACGTACAAGTCAGCCAATTTTTATCAAAAGTGGACATAAATCACAATCAGACTCACACGACAACCAGTATTCCTTTTTTGTTTACTAAAAGAGACTCAATGTTTAACCAAATATCTTAAGTTTCAAAGGAAAAGGGGAGTAATTGCATATTTTTAAAGTTATAGATATATATTTTTCTTCAGATGTTCTTACTGTGATGTTTAAACATTACACAATTAATTCCTACTGACAGAACAGTAAATATTTAGGTTACACATTCTCACAAATTCTGTAACATACAATCTATTGAATGATCAATTTCATCCTGTTTTCATGCAATGCCTTTTCTGTATCTGATATTATGTATCTCATAACATAATGTTTATGTATTAGGTGTAGCTTCTCATATCTGAGGGGCGTTAGCTCCGAAGATATTAGACGATTACATCTGATTGACATAGAAACAAATAAATAAATATTTTCTCTTGCTCTATAAAGAGCAATTAGGAAAAGTGTCATTATCGCTATTTTACGAAAATTCCTTTGATCTTACTGACTGATAATTTCCTTTCTCAGCGGAGTCGAGTGATATAAAATTATCGCTAGAAACTAAGGGGGCACGTGCCGTTGCTAATAAAATTGACATGAAATTGACAACGTCGTCAAAGGTGAGATAGCGATAAACAAATTATCATTGGTCATCTCAACTCGATTGCTTTTCTCGCTTTCGCCGTACCGGCTCAAGCGAGCAAATCAATCTCATTGAGATGGTCAACGATAATCTATAATTATCTCAAATTTTCCAGATGCAGTAACACTTGCATAATTTTTTTTGTAATTATGGATTTGGAATGAAATGTTACTTGCGTCAATTTTTTGTCATCAAATTGATACCTTATCACTACTTCTCTATGGCAAGATGAATCGCTATACTATCTTGTCTTTTCCTGGTTTAATTGTCAAAATCTGAACTTTTCGCTGATTAATGATAGCATTTCTATGTAAATAAAAAAAGGAGATGTGGTATGATTGCCAATGAGACAACTATCCACCAAAGTTCAAACGAAGTGGATGCAGCAATTATAGGCAACTGTACTGCCTTCAACAATGAGAAAACCCTATACCGTCTAGTCGGGTTTAAAAGGCCCCGACATGAAAAATAGGAAACAATTCAATTGGAAAACTAACTGTCTAATTTATAATTAAACGGTTTACGAAAAACAAATTTGACAGACATGAAGTAACAACAACCACTGAACTACAGGCTCCTGACTTGGGATAGGGACATACAGAATGTGGCGGGGTTAAACATGTTTATTTCCGATGCAAGGACCCTATGAGTGAATCAATATAAATTCCCAAAAATGCAACTTTTAATGACTTGACAGTTGTATATCCCTTTTGAATAAATCTGTTTAAGGTTTGGTTAGCATTTGAGGCAAATGACGACATTTTTGTGCTTTAAATTGTATATAGAATATTGCCATAAAAGATTGTATGTGAAATACCTGAACGTATAAGATGTCTGCAACGTTGATTTATATTTAGCAAAGATCCATGCCCTTGTATCGATGATAGAATTTAGTAAAAGTTTGTGATATCGAAAACCCTGGTGTAAGAATTTTTCAGTAATACAGACATTTCTTTCTTTAAAATCAAATACGTTGTAACATAAACGAGCGAATCGATTAAGTTGAGATATATAAACATCAAACGATGGTACTAAGGTAATGTTACCATCTAAAAACGGATAATAAACAATAGAAAATGAAAAATTATCCCTTTCATCGTAAATTTTAGTGTTAAGCTTCCAGTTAGAGATATAGATGTCAAGATCCAAAAAGAAAAAGTGCAGTGTTCATTGATAGTATAATCTTTGCTTAAAGTAAGTTCAACCGGATAAATCTCTTTAGTGTACATACTGACATCGTCGTCATTATTGAGAGCCAAAATATCATCCAAATTTATGTATCATTGTTTGTTTACTTATTTTTAATCTTTTCATATTAATCTCTGATATCACCATTCCATTATTCCTTTTAAGATTTCATTTCATTCAAAGAAAAAAGGGGTGCATAGATTAAATATTGCGGGTAAATTATTAATCAATACAAACTAACCTTATAAAAACTACCAATCCAAGATCAGACAGATCATCCTTCAAATCATCAAGATTAGCTTGCACGAGTAACCGCTGTCTTGGTGTCAAATACATATTCAAGTTTTCCTTTCCTATTTTCGTTTTTCCAGGTGTTTTATTTCCCATTTTCGAAATGCTGTCTTGAAATGTCACAAATGAAAACAAATCTTACATTTCAAAAAAGAAATTAACATGACAGATGTGTGATCACATAGTTTTATCAAAGGACATCCTTTTACATTTATAAGCTTTTCTATTTAGTCCATGAAAACAAAGATAGAGCAGCAATATGATTGTCAGAATTTACTATTAATGCAATTGTTCTGTGACGGGTTAAAGATCGTTTATATTTCTCGAAATAACCAATTGCTATAGAGAAAATGTAATTATATTCACATGCTAGGACTCATCCAGGTTATATCAATCTGATCCATGATAAAAACTGGTTTTATTTAAACGCATTAGCATTTACGTATATTCATTTTGACAGATAAATTATCGGAATTCTATTAACACAAATAAATACAATAAAAACTGTCCCTCTCAATACCTCGTATCGTAACACGAAATGTTCTCTTACTGCTACCTGCTCCAATATATAGATTAGATTATGAGTGCAGGGATGCAATTAATTACTATGTCTATATTCAATGCATGAATAAAAATGAACTGTTCATCATTGTACAGTTACACAGTAATTTAGTCCAATTAAGTTTCCGGAAGTTGATTAATCTCTGCCAGATGTCTCCGCGTGCTTTTTAATGGTAGTCAGTTAATTGTCTTGATCTTTGAAATCTATCGATTTGATAAACCTGTTGATCATGTTGATTGGTATATAACTCAGCTAAGATTTAAAAGGATGAAATTACGCAATCGTAAAGTCAGCGCTCATGACACAAAATGTGACTTGTTTCAAATCTTATTTCTACTAAACTAAACATAATATTATCATGTACATAAAATCAGTCACTTTTTTATATTAATTTTTGGAGCCAAAATGTTCGGGCAAAAGCATAAAAAATGAGAACCTTATGGTTTACTTTTTTCATTCCACTTCCTTCTGGGATTCTGTGGATGGGCAATTTTCTGATTTAGCCGCCCATAGTTTTACCCCGGCTTCTATAACCCTGCAAAATGATACTTGATCTTATCATTCAATAGATTATATGTTACATGTGGGTCAATATGCGCAATTCATTTCAGGTAGGCAACAATTTTAAACTTTTTCATCAATTCCTCTGTCCATATCGTAAACTTAGATATGTTTGCTGGTTCCTTTCGAAGTTGAGACATTTTCACACATATGCTTACATTTTTGGGGTACGAAGTGTGATTCATTTTTTCACAAATTAGGAAACACCGAAAACCCACATGTGATGCCGCTTCAGTAAGTTCACAGTTAATTATTCTGAAAATTCAGTTCATTACAAAGATTTAATAACTCCAAAGTTTTTGCATCTTTTTTGTACTGTCTTCTCTTTGAAACACAAATGGTTAAGCTCAGTCAATTACTAATACTTAAAATAGCATCATGTCCAACATCATTCCATACAGATTTTTTATTTCTATTTAAGAGATAACTGTATTGTATTTGAAGCTTTGCGGACGTCCATCGGTAGTTTTACTGTCGCAAATTTAGTTTACCTGGCGACGCGTAGCGGAGACAGGTAAACGGGTATTTGCGACAGTAAAACTACCGATGGACGTCCGCAAAGCTTCAAATACAATACAGTTATCTCTATTCTAATGCAAAACAAGTACATAATTCAATTTCAATCATTATTTCAGTGTTAAATTTTCATTAAAAAAGAATTCCGCGAAAAGATGTTATCTTCTTTGGCCCCTAAACTAAGTGACGTCATAGGTATGCTTCCGGCGTCAAACGTTAACACCGGGCGTTTTCTGGTTTCTTGACCGATTCAGAATGTAATAAAATTTGATAAAAAGAAGATTTCTAGGTGCAACATGTGAGTTTTTGCTTATTACTGTAGAAATTACATGTCAATACATCCCGCAATTCAAAATGTCGGCTTCCTTAGTTACATACAAGGAGATAGAGAATTTGACGCTTACTGTCATCCAATCAGAACCATTGATACAAAATAATTGCATTAGAATTATAGTTGTGTTCCTCATTTGGAGGCGCATACTGAGCCTATGTCCATTTGTTCCGTTTGTTGATACAGTCTAACGTTTGATTTTATCAGTTTTTATGGACTTTCCCCTTTTTGAATTTTCATTTGAATTCAGTATTTTTGTTAATACTTTTTTATAGAGTTTACATATTTAATTATCAGTCATTAGGAATTAATTGAATATTATCTATACGCTACATACCTTCTTTATGTTCAAATGAAAGTTTATCAAGTTACCGATTAACTTTGTGAAAATGTTAAACAAATTAAAACTACCGAAAACATTTAAACTATGAACATGGAAAGTACCCGATTAAGTTGTATATCAATCGCAAACATAATCGTCCAAATCGTTCGGTCGTGAATCGACATGTGATTAACCAGTTTCATATTCTTCATGTCATTAAAGTCCGGTTCACTAGGATCTGGCTGTTTTTTCTATGTTTCATTGTGATTAATTACGTTTCATTTGTGTTTCTAGCATTAACTACATTTCCTTTCTTCTCAGTAATCACGTACGGTTCTGGTTGAAAATGTGGCGTAGGTTTGTTATATCGCTGGTGTTTAATGAATAATAATTATTATCTCCATATATCTTCCATTGTGTCTGTTTAATGATCTTTCAAGACATTCGCTTCCGAATTTTCGATTTAAGGCCATACTTTTTCCTCGGTCTCATCTTTCTTTTCACTATCGCTTGGTGTTCTTCATGCGCTAGTCGCAGAATTCTTATTCTTGAGTTTATTCGGTACAACGATTCTCGTTCCTTTGAGTAAAATGTCTTATTCATAACAGTTAACGTCTCACTGGTTGAACTCCGCATGAATTTTGAGTTGAAATGTCTTTTAATTTTCCCAATCTATTAAAACAATTCTGCAAAACTTTTAAATTGTAACGTTAATCTCTGGACCAACATGTAATATTTCTAATTTTGTAGCGGTCTCCTTCCCTTACAACAGTATCCTTTTATCACCAAAAAATAGACTAAAACGACGACTGAGTACTAGTATTCAACGGCAGGTGATGCATGCATAGCAAGTGACTCTTACCCTGTCGACGCACCCGTTCTTGCTCCTTTTAGAATACATGCAATTCTCTCGGGTTTTGTCCCACGCGCGACCCGTTGGCGGGGGATTGAAATACGGGGCGTTCGTCCATATCAATAATCAAGAAATATATTGTGCAACGTGGGGGACACTGGAACTCTTTTATTATTTGTAGCTTTGATTTTCTCTTTTTAATCGATTCAAGGGATTTGACTATCGGTAAACTACTGTCGCCTAAATTTATTTGATCCGTATGAATATAGCATTGTCACATTATGTTTTACATGTGACACTAATGTCCTTCTATACATTTGGATGCACAAATTTGCAAATTGCACCTTAACCAATGCAATATTTCACATAAATCGCATTAAATAATGCACTGATTATTCAAATCTCATGTTTATTTTCTATTACAAATGCACATTCATATGAAGAATCCCTTTCGTCGACTGTGTGAACCCTTCATTTCTCTTTATTTGTGTTCGGTTTGCATTTGGCTTGCGTAACTTTGCACATTTTTTTAAATGTTCTCTATTCCGACATTTGTGACATATCTCATGTTTGTTATTGTACAATCTCGTGTGAAATGTCCAGTATTGCCACATCTAGAGCATTCTACGGACTTCTAGTTTGTAGTGATATTCCTTCTGTCAAAAGTTGGCTATTCTCTGCATTACAATTTCTCTATGTTGTGGCTGAGTTTCAAACCTTACTGCTCGTTTGTCTACAATTTCACTGCCTATAATTTCATTAGCTCAAGCAACGTCCATCAAATGTTTTTAAAGGTTAAATCTTATTCTATAGTGTGAAGATTTACATTCGATTTCTAATACTGTCATCTGTTTCGTATTCACGTGTTTCAGTTAATTATTCTAGACGATTCACAGATACGTCTATAGTCTTTCCTTCTTGTGTTGCCTTTTTAACATAAGCTTTTCAAACAGGACATGTTTTTTGGTTTAAGATATTCATCTAGCTTCGTCATGGCGGTTTCAATATCTTCACCGATGTTTTCTAAAGTGTCAACACTTTTCTTGCACATCATACCCAGCTAAATGAAGAAATAATACTCGTGTCTTGCTTCATCGTTTATTCCTGAAGCAGTCAGTTAATACATGCATGTCTTTTTCCATCTTTCAAATCTTATGTATGTTTGATCTCCAGCTTTCATGTCAAATGATACTACTGGTGTAACTTGCAAAGAATTTGGCAGTACTTGTCAATACGAATCCTATTTATTATGAAACTGCATGAACGTTTTTGAAAAATAATCTCCTTTCTTTAGTCTGGGAGAACATAATTAATTCATTAGTTGTAATTGTCCTTGAACTAGCTTATTTCGGTACCTTGTTTCTATTGTTTTTATGTTAGCTGTTTTTTGTTTTTGTTTTTTTTTTTTGTCTCGTTTCGTTCTTTAGAATTAACAGAATTGCTACTGATTTTTACAGTTTATTCTCATTATGAACTGTTACACCACTGTCCCAGGTTAGGGGAGGGTTGAGCGCTCTCAAACATGTTTAACCCTGCTACATTCTTTATGAGCATGTCCCAAGTCAGGAGCCTGTATTTCAGTGGTTGTCGTTGGTTCATGTTCTTCTTCGTCTTTCGTAAGTTGTTTTTGTATAAATAGGGCCGTTGATTTTTTCTCTTTTTAATTTTTTGATATCTTTCATGTCGGGGCCTTTTAGAGCCGACTATACGATATGGGTTTTTCACCATGTTGAAGACCGTACGGTTGCCTATAAAGTCTTACATCCACTTCATTCGAACTCTGATGGATTGTTGTCTCATAGGCAATCATACCACATCTCCTTATTTTTATTTACATAGAAATGCTATCATTTATCGGCAAAAAGTTCAGATTTTGACAATTAAACCAGAAAAAAAAAACAAGATAGTACAGCAATTCATCTTGCCATAGAAAAGCAGTGATAAGGTATCAATTTGATGACAAAACATTTGACGCAATTAGAATGTCATTCCAAATCTATAACTACAACATAATTTCTGTAAGTGTTACTGCATCTTGAAAATTTGAGATAATGACACTTTCCTGTTTTATCAAAACTAATTGCTCTTTTTAGAACAAGAGAAAAGATAAAATATTTATTTATTTATTTATTTGTATGTAAATCAGATGTAATCGTCTTATATCTTCGGAGCTGACGCCCCTTAGATATCAGAAGCTACACCTTATACATAAACATTATGTTATCAGGTACATAATATCAGATACAACATATAGAATTGCATCCAAACAGGATGGAACTGATCATTCAATAGATTGACTTTTGTATGTGACAGAATTTGTGAGAATGTGTAACTTAAATATTTACTGTTCTGTTATTAAGAATTAACTGTCAATTATTTAAACATCACAGTAAGAACATCTGAAGAAAAATCTATATCTATGACTT